ACTACTGCTGCAATACTCTGCTAGGGGTTAATCCTCAAACCCTAACAACCACAATACAAAAACGATATCGAGACTCTGGAAAGAGTGCAGCGAACAGCAACCAATATATTTGTGGCTTGGGGGTAAAACATTAGGAATGGTTGCAGGAACTTTTGTATATCTAATCTAATGAAGAGAAGTCTAGGGGTAACATGATAGCAGTCTTCCAATATCTGTTACAAAGAGGGGGTTGGTCTAATGGAAGGTAGGACAAGAAGTAATGGATGGAAACTTTTCGAAGAGAGATCCAACCTAGAACTAAGGAGACATTTCCTGACAGTGAGAACAATTAATAAGTGGAATGGCTTACTTCCAGAAGTTGTGGGTGTTCTATAACTAGAGGTTTTTTTAAAGGATTGAATAACATTTGTCTGAAATTTTATAGTCTCCTGCTTGAGCAGGGGGTTGAAATAGACGACCTCCAAGGTCCCTTAAAACTTTGTTATTCAGTTGGGTAAAGAGTTGGGATGTTCATGCTGATCAATTGGTTAACCAATTCCATAAGGATTTTCCACACAAACCGAAGGGTCCTCGTGAAGGGGGGAGAGAGGGTTAAGGACAATGTGTTAACCCCTGTATCTGTTTTTTTTTTCTTTTCTTTTAGGAGGATGAGTTTTCAAGGGGGGACGCCTGTCAGCTTTGATATTCAGCTGCCACATTTTTTTAAAGAGAATTGGAGGAGTTGAAAAGTTCAAGGTTATTCTGTATGCTGTATTAGGAAATTCCAGTGGCAGTTAATTGGTTCTCGTGATTTATGAAGTGTAGAAGTGGGAGGAGAGAAGGTGGATTCTGTGTAACGCGCGAAAAATTTTCACTTTGGGAAATTGCCTTTGACATGCCAGATCTGTTTCTAAATAAAACAATTGGAGAGAAAATGTCTCGGAGTGATTGATATCATGGATACTTTCTGGATGCCTTACACTAGGCCAGAGACACGCACCACTTTCATTTATGTATACCGTGTTTCTCCAACAATACGGCCTCCACCAATAGGAAGGCCCAGCATGATTTCAAGGCATGAGGTGACATTAAGCCCCGCATCTAAAATTTAGGCCTATTTAAACCATGCGTTTCCCTGCCATTTCTCACATCATTCGTTAGAACTACACGAGGTGAAGAGAAATGGGGAGAAGGGCGGGGGGTGGGAAGAAAACTTGCCTTTAGGAGTGCCCTGCAGGTTGCCTAGGCTAGAATACCCCAATCTACTACCGATAGAACATCAGCCGATAGAAGCTCTCCGAAGGCAGAATCACCAGCTGCTTCGATTGGCTGGTAGAAGCGGCCTCGGGGCGAGCGCCCACGCACACTCCCCTCACTGCGAGGCCGCTTCTATTGGCCGATGAAAGCTCCCCGAAGGCAGTCACCAGCCGCTTTGGGGTGAGGTGTGGCTGCCCGCATCCCCTCGCCATGAGGCAGGTTTTTTCGGGCGATGGAAGCTCCCCAAGGGCAGTCACCAGCCACTTCGATTGGCCGGTAGAAGCTCATTTCAGATCATTTCTTTGATAGAAACATATAGTCAACTTTGTGCAACTGCATAGAAAATTAAACATGCCAAGCCATATAAACTACTTTGTTTTATGTCATTTTTATTTTTTAGAATAAAACTGAATCTGATTTACATCAGAATAATGAAACCAATAAAACAAAATGGGAAGTTTACAGGAGAGTGCAACAACAATATATTCTTTTTTTAGTTTAAATATTTGATTATTATTCTTTTTACTGAAACCCTGTTATCTTTTAAGAGTTATTAAATCCTGACTCCTTATGGAAACCCTGGAGGGGAGCCGGTATAAATGAAATTATTGGTCATTTCTGTATTGCCCCTACAAAGCCTCATTCTAAAATGTTCTAAAACACAAACTTTTAGAGGAAACTTGATTTACCTTTTGTTATACTCAGTGCCTAATGTGTAACTCTTGCTATTTCCTGTCACTATCAGAGATACTACTACATCAGGGAAACAACAACAACAACAAATCCATAGTTGGGAATGAGGAGAGTACTATTAATGACCATCCTAAGAACCACAGTTAGAGTCATGCTCTCTGTGGATCATGCATCTTGGTGAATAATTAGTTTTCTATATTACGGACAGACAATACTGCTTACTCAAATGCTGTATTTGTTGACCAAAACATATCTGTGTGTGTGTATGTGTGTGTGTATGTGTGTGTGTATGTGTGTGTGTGTGTGTGTGTGTGTGTGTGTGTGTGTGTGTGTGTGTGTGTGTAGGCAACTAAAAAAATACACTCATCTTATACAGACTATTCATTCTTTACATATATGCCTTGTGAGTCAATCCTCATTCATTTTATTTATGACTAAGCTACCTAAACTCACTTAAAACAAATGGTCGTTTTGTATTCAGCATCTTCATTTGTTACTCTTTAATTATTGAATGTACCTCCCCTAGCTTTAACAGACATATTTCTTGAATACCCCATGGCCCTGGAATACAATATATTCTGTTTCTCCTCACATAAATTCCAACTTCCATATAATAAAGAGGACAGAAACATGCTCTTATAGAGTTTTGCTTGTTTTTAACAAATATTTTCCTGGCAAGAGAATCCTATACCACCTGCTTATCATGCCACCATTTGCATAGCTATTTTTTCTCATTAATTTCCCCATCTTTAGTAATCATTCTTATTTACACAAATTCATTTATTTGCTTCATTTCCCCATTTATTTATAATTTCCACAACGATGGTCTTGCATATAATAATGTTGAAGTTTTTATTGCATTATACAATCCATCCAACATTCACTGAAAATAATTTGGGATCTCAATCAACAATGTAGCATTAGCTGTATAAAAACTATATACACATCCATGGTCCCGATCAACATATATCTAATGTGACTACAAATATAATTTATACATTAATTGATCCATCTATTAAACAACCAAGGAGATATGATATATTCTTAATTTTCTTCCCAATGTTGAACAATTTCCTAAGCATTTAGTTTATTCTGTACTTCATTATTAACATTCAGTAACCAATCTTCAGCTCCATATTCATGGAAAACATTTTATAATTCAAGCTTATATTTTCTTTATCCTCATTTTTTGCAGCAGTCATTTTAATGCTTTTTCCCCTCATTCCAGCAAGAATTATTTTTCATACTTCCAATAGTATACTTCCACTCAGTGCTATGGCATTCTGTAGCATAAATCTTTCCACCCTCTTTTAAATGGCTTCAACATCATCTATTCTTATATTAATCTTTAATTCTTTCTTTTGACAGGTTAATATAGATTAGAGTCAGCATACCAATTGGTCCATTGATCTCTGCTTTTTTTTGTGTGAGTACTACAAGTTAACTTCAACAACTTTAAAAAACTTCTACACTAAAAGCTCATGTGCACTGTCAATTTTTATTGAAAAGGTTGTATTGATTCCCCCACTCCCAATTATTTCAGTGTAATATTCAAAGTCAACATTTCCTTTCAATCCATAAACAGAATATTAGTTTGGATAGCAAAACTAAACTGATCCAAAGCCAATAGCAATTCACAGAATACTTTTAAGATTGTTCAAAGAACATTCATTAAAAACAACATTTTAGAATGCTCTATACTGGCATCACATCCCTCAAGTAAAATGTTCAGAGATTATTCAAACATTGTTTTATGTTTGTTAATGTAAAATTTTATAAAAAAATTGTGAAATATTATTTACCTCCTGCTTTGGTTTGTTCTGGTAACGCCAGGCTATTCTCATGGACTCCTGAGAATCTTGTGTTGACTTCATAGTTATTACTTCTTCCATTTCCTTGTCAGAGAGATTCGGCAAAGGACATGGAAGTTCCTGAATTAAAATAATATTTTACAGAAACATTTAAAATTTAAAAAAGATTAATGATTAATCTATTATGTAGCAAAGATAAGTGATACCTACTAATATCATAAAAATACTTGTTGAAGAACTCTCGGGAGAAAAAAGATGAAATCCACAAGCATGAGGGAGAAGCAAAAGTTTTTCTTATATTCAAGAATGGAATATTGGAATAGGACTTCAGTACTAAGGAAGATCATTAAATCATGGCAAAGTGATTTGTAAGAATTGTGATAAGAAGTTGGTAATAGAAAGAAAAAAACCAGTGTGATCTTGCCCAGATTATTTCCTAATCATATCTTTTGATTGGGTAATTAGATTAATGACCTCTATTGATGCTGTTGGCTACTTTATCTTGATTTCAGCAACTCAGTTAATAATATAATCTAACATATTTGGTAAAATATAATTTATAGCACTGTAAAACTATAATGTCATAGTTAACTGAAAAACATATTCAAGGGGTGATCATTAATTAGTTTCTCTTTAGACTGAAAAGAGGTTTTGAGTAGAGGATTGGAAAGCCAATATATTTTATCAGTTACTTAAATGAAACAGAGAAAATTATCACATTTGCATAGGACAGAAAACTAGAAGTAAGAAATAACACTTCAGAAGATAGTGCTGTAATAATATTCCATAATATACAATAAAAAAGGCCTGAAATGTAACAAAATAGAAAGTTCTGTTTTGGGGGAGTCAGCAGGGGAATAAAACATATGGGTATATATTGAGGTAGCCAATTTTAGTATGAAATGAATCCTAGGTCATAAGGTAGCCAACTTAGTAAGAAATGGATAGGTCAAAAGTTAAACGTGAGTGAGTGGTGTTATACAATTGTAAAAGAGTATAATATAATCTCAGGCTTCCATTAATTGAATCATTATTTTCAGTTCAAGAGAAGCAATACTTATTTACAGATCATTTATTTATATATCACATTTTTCAAAAAGAAGCTGCTCACAGACATTCTTGAAGTACAACTCAAATACAGGTCGTCCAAATACAAGTCAAATATAATAATTGAGATACACTTGATCAATTATAGTTCTTCTTAAAATGTTCAATGTAATAATTATAACAAATAACAAGAAATGTATTTTATGGTGTATTTATACTACATTGTTTAACTCTGTTAGCTACCCAGAATTGAATTTGCGAGATGGGGAGCCATATTAGTTGAAGGGCTTTAAAGGTGAAAAACATACCTTGAATTGAAACTGAAAGCAAACTGACAGCCAATGCAGCTCTCAGAGCACATATAACTGCCCTGTACCAGTTGAAGCTTCTAGATACTCTTCAAGAGCAGCCTCATGCAGAGTGCGTAACAGTAGTCAAATCTGGAGGCGACTTGGACATGAGTGACTGTGAGCAGAGCCTCCTGATCCAGAAATGGGTGCAACAGGTGCACAACTATAAAGCTGTGCAAAGGACCTGCTAGGCACAGCTGCTCATCAAGCAGGAGTTGTGAATCTAGGAGGACCTCCGAATTGCATAGCAGGTCTACCTGAGGCACTGCAACCCTACAGAATTTAGCATAATATAGTACTATAGTTGAAAATGAAAGCCAGTTTGGTATAAGTTAATGCATCAGGCTAGAAACCAGGAAACTGAATTCTAGCCTTGCCTTAAGCACAACACCAGCTAGATGACTTTGGACCAGTCACATTCCCTCAGCCCTAGGAAGGAGGAAATGGCAAGCCACTTCTGAAAAAAACTTGACAAGAAAACTGCAGGGACTTGTCCAGGCACTACAAGAATTATATATGATTGAATGGAAGAAAAAAAAATAGTTGAGAAATCACAGTGTATGGTATAACTTATTCCAAAAGTTTTAAAACTTATTACAAAATACCAAGTATCATTATGCTGAAAAATAATCAGTAGTACAAATCAATGCTAATCAATGCTGTTTAGAGGCATATTGAAAATTATGTATTTAACTACCTAAATGTATCTACCTAAGAGCTAAAACTGTAAATGCTACATGGATTAGTAAATATGCTGAAGCATTTTGCAAATACTTTTAAGCTTAGCAGTTTTATAGCAATGTAGACAGGTTGTTGCTGTTGCTTTTTTAAATGACATTGTTGTGAAATAAATTCTACCTATTGGGCCCCAATTTGTTAACCAAAAAAGAAGTGCTGAGACTTTGCAGCTGACCAAGTGTTGTGCTAATAGGGATCCCTGTCTATTATGCATGTGAGATAATGTGCTGCATGTTTTCTGAATGCTTAGTGTCTGCTTAATGGATCTGGTATCCCATTTCTATGGCAGGAGTTGCCCAAGTGCAATTAGCATGCTAGAGTGTACTGTTACAAGGCATCTAATTTCAGTTTTGATGCAGTGACCCAGAAGCAGAACAGGATCATGACTCGGAGTACCAAACATAGTCTAAATGAGACACAGTGCATTGTAACAGCTAAGAGACTGAGCTTTGCATCTGAAAGTCCCTAGTTCGAATCGAACTTCTGATACAAAATGCTTAGCTCCAATACTTGCAATATAGAGATAATACTGGCCAACTCAAAGAATAAGGCCAAGGGTTATAATAATTTGTGTCATTACTCTAAAGTGAAATAATACAGTTAGTATTATTAACTATACCTTCCCTTCTTTGTGTAAATATAGAATATATTGCACAGTATAAATATACATTGTGTTGCACAAGGGTACATACCAATCTAACTGTCTCTTGACTGGCAAGAGAAGATATCCATTTCAGTAGTAAAATAATAATAATACCCTCTAATTAAAAAAAAGGACAACAGAAAACAGAAGTAGAATGACTGTGCAATCAAGGCAAAAATTTTACTAATAGTAATATGTTCCTTCGATGCAAACCCAAAATATCTGGAGCGCCACTGAATACCATCAGCATCACTATCATTCAATTGCAAAAGACAGCTTTACTTGGAACAGCTTGTATCCTGTGACAATACCTTTAACACTATCAAACAACATCTGCCTACACCAGTTCTTGGGAAAGACTTGATACGTGAAAATGCCAGATCCAGTCTAAACATCTAGTGGACTGTGTAACGAATGAACAACAACAATAATCCTTCATAGACATACTCTTGACATAGGGGAAGGTCGTTTGATACTTGGATGAGGTTGAGAGCTGTGCTAGTGATAATGTATTCTTCCAGAAGGGTCATGTATGCTAGACAGATCTTAAGGGAAGAGCCAGACTAAATGCATCCACTAATCCATTTAATATGGTGAGAAAACAGGAATAGAATCCTGTATTGGGTCAATCATCACCTGGGTCAACAAGGACCATTTAAGATATTAGAATTCCTGGACATTACTAAACAATACAATACTGCTAGGGTTGATAAATAAATAAATATAGTGTTCTTATAATGGGCTGGACTACAATGTGAGGGTTAACAAATAATGCAGTTAAAAACTTGGCTGAGAATTAGGTGTATACCAAGTAACTATCCACTTCAATGCCATTTACAAGAAATATGTTTGAGATGCAATATGGACTAAAATATGATGCAATACAATCTTACAGAACTTTCATTTTGAATTTCAACATGAGAGATGGAAATAGGAAGATATATGAAAGAATTTGTCTTGCAAAGTAATTTCCACAGGTGAACTCAGAGCTTCTCAAGCTTTACATTTCCCTAGTTGAATTCTTATTACTAGCTCTGACCCTACAGGAAAGAAGCTGTCTCTTATCCCATATATACATTGGTTCAACAGTTGCTCTCTGTAAAGCTGAAAGTGATTACTGGGACTAAATTAGAATGATTGTTCTCTTGTTCCACAACTCTCTCCTTCCTTTCACTTTTGACAAAATCAGAGTTATTAGTTGTGCAACATCGGAGTCAGTTGCAAAAGTATCCCTCAGAGGGCACAGAGGCATGAACACAGCCCCCAGGTACAGCCTTTTATAGCAGTCATAGGATGGGTGGAACAGCAGTGGAGAGTAACCACGAATTCTGGGAAAAGAGGCAGCTATGCTGAAGGATTTCAGACATTTGAACATATAAAAAAACTTTATTGCTGGCTAACTCTGCCCACAGTTCAGGAGTTTGATCCTGATGGGCTCAAGATTGACTCAGCCTTCCGAGGTTGGTAAAATGAAGATCCAGATTGTTGGGGGCAGTACACTGACATTAGTAAACTGCTCAGAGAGTGTTGTAAAGCACTGTGGAGCTGTATGTAAGTCTAAGTGCTATTTAGTGCAATATCTGTTCTCTCTAACCCAAAGGAAGGAGTTCTGCTTTTTTAAAAATTACATTTTATCTTTTTCTTCTCTCATATGCCTCTACTGTCAGGCTTCCCTTAAAATTTGAATGTACAGAATGATATAACTAATTTGCTTGCATCCACTGAGAAAGAGATACCCTAGTACTATGTGGAAACATTTCAGATTTAAAAAAATCATGAAAATCAATATGCGAGTTAACAAAAAGCATTGTTTTTAATCCCTTCCATTTTGAAAGGGGAAATGACTATTAGGATAATCTTTTCTTCCCAGAAAAAATGCCATACAACAATATGTCTAGGCATAACCAAAAGAAAATGTATTGGAGTTTTTATATAAATAAAAAGCAATTACAGAGTTTTAGGTTTTAGGTTTAAGGATGTATAAGAAGGTAAAGAGCGCTGAAAAGATTTTCATCATGTTTCCCTTCTTTGCAATTTGCAACCATAGCAACTGTATACATTTCTACTCCAACATGCCACTTTGGTATAATGGTTAAGATACTGGTCTCGAAACTGGGAGACTGTAAGTTCTAGTTCTCTAGTTCTCTCTTAAGCATGAAAGCTAGCTGGGTGACTTTGGGTCAGTCACTCTCTCTCAGCCCAACCACCCTCAAAAGGTTGTTTTGAGGAAAACTAGAGATGGGAGCAATAGTAAGCCTTCTGCCTTGAATTATTTATAAGGAAGGATTTTTTAAAAAAATCTAACAATAATAAACATCATTTAATTAAATTTAGTTTATGCA